CATTTGTTAATTGCTCTCGTTTCGCCAGTGAAAGTAGCAAAAAATAAAATGGAAACACGCTCCAAAGGCGCAATACCGAAAGCCACCAGCGGCATCGAAAAGAAAAAGGACGCCAAAAGTCAACAAGTTGCTGAAGAGATTCTGAACGACGTAATTGCAGAATCTTTGGCAGCCAATAATGAGCGAGCCGAATCGTCTCAGGCTGGTCAATCGCGTGTTATTGAATCAAACGCAGCAACTGAATCGCCGATGGTAAACGAATCATTGGCATCATCGCCAACTTCCATGGAATGCGATGATAATCGGCGGGAAGATGCCATCGATGGCTTTTATGACGCCGATGAAATGGATGGTTTCGATGTGGCAGTAGGCGGTGAAACCACATCGCAGTCACCAACGACCAAGTCCGGACCAGCGGCTACAGCTACTTCGATTGAGCCAATCATTGCAAATGTGCAGCAAAATGTGCAACAAAATATGCCGATCGTAGTGACCGCACCAACTCGGGTTTTCGACCGAAATGCTGATTTAAGCCTGCCCAAGGATCGATTCCGTCCACCACAGGAATTGACAATCCAAAATAACATCGCCAATGATGCAAATGGCGTTGGCTCAGCTCCATTGTCGGCACCAACGTCGGCCTCGCCTCAACCAGACATTCGTGACGTATATCTAATGCGGTTGGTCGAATACCAACGTCGATTGGCGGGATCTCAAAATCGCGTCTCGCTTGAGATTCTTATGGATCACGTCAATCGTTGTGCCAACAATTTGATGGAACAGATCGAAAAGAAGGAAAGAGAAGAAGTGATGAATCCGGCTGAGCTTGAGAGAAGTCAGCAACTGTGGGAACAGGCGACTGAGCTACGAACCACATTGACCTCGGAAATCCGCACTCGCCTAGAGTATTTGAATCCAGAAGTTCGCCACCAGAATTGTGCACCCAATAATGCTCGTGTCGATAATCGACACCCCGATCATGTCCGCCGAATGGACGCAAAAATTACGCCGTTCAATGGCAGTACTGATCGAGATTTGTGGCCAACGTTCAAAGCCAAATTTGAACAATACTATCACAAGTGCCAATATATCAGCGACCTGGACAAATTCATCAAGCTGGATGAATTCATCGTGCCACGGTCGGAGGCATTTGAGGCAATTGCATCGTACGATCGAGGCTTGGCCAGTTCATACCAAGATGCTTGGAATGAGTTGTGTGCCACGTATGACAACGCTCGACGCCAAGTCGATGAAATCGTTGCTAAGTTTTTGGCAACAAAGCCAATTGCATCGAACCGTGAAGGACTTTCACGGTTATACAATGCTATCAACCATTTAGTAAAATCATTGCCACGATTGGGCGTCGACGTCACTACCTGGGATCCAATCATAGTGCACGTTGCGGAAAGCAAAATGGACATAGTTACCTTTGACTTATGGCGTCGAGAACGCGACTCTAAAGAGGTCGCTAAACTGGCACCGTTGATCGCTTTCCTTTAACAGGAAATTGAACGTCGAGACCATGCCGGCTCACAATCGCGGCCCAGTTCATCGAATGAACAACGGTCATCAACCGGCAACAATTCTCGAGCCGGAACAAACGCTCACCGACGGGCAGATGAACAAGGTGCTGTTGGAGGAGCGTCAAGCTCAAACTTGCAACCGCGCAGCCAAGTCAAACGGCCGATCAAGTGCCCATTGTGCAGCGCCGAACACCATCTATACGGCTGCGATACTTTCCGTCGTTTGGATTTGGCAAATCGCCGCCGAAAGGCAAAAGATCTGAAGGTGTGCGATAATTGCCTTCGATTGAACTGTTCACCAAATCGATGTACTCTGCGCCCGTGCCAAAACGAAGGGTGTGGAGCCAAACACAATGGACTGTTGTGCAGCATGTCAACACGACCAACCGTGAACGCCGCCCGAGAGGCTACCCAATGACTAGGCCAGCCACGCATCGCTCTGCTCGCAACCATCGCAGTAGCGGCCAAGGACTACATGGGCAACAAAGTGATGCTGCGAGCTCTATGTGATTCAGGTTGCCAAATCAATTTGGTATCGAGCGATACTGCACAACGACTACGATTAAAGAAGGCTTATTCACAATTGCAAATTCTCGGTTTGGGCGGCATCCAAGAAGCCAAAGGTAAAGTTGAATTGCAATTGGAATCGCCGTTTAATGCTCAAGTCAACGTCAGCGTTGAATGCTATGTAACCACTCGATTGCTTGGCATTCTACCACAATCAGCGGTCGACGTTGAAGAATGGCCAGACATTAAAAAATTGAAGCTTGCCGATGAAGGATTCCACTTACCAGGGCAAGTCGATCTCATTCTCGGCGCTGAATTTTACAGCCATATTGTAAAAAACGGCGTGCGACATTTTAAAGACGGTCCAACCGCACAGAACACCTCGTTTGGATGGATTGTATTCGGACAGATTGGGCTACCAAAATGTCACATCGCAGTAGCCAATCCGCTCATCGCCGATGATGAAGTGATGAAATTGCTCACGCGATTCTGGAATTTGGAAAGCGTACCAACTCGCCATTTTCAAACAGAGGAAGAGCAAAAATGTGAAGACATATTCACAAAGACCACCACCAGAGATCACACCGGACGATTCTGTGCCAGAATACCAATGATTGATGATCCACCTGAGGTAATTGGCTCGCGCTTATTGGCATTAGGTCGCCTAAGACAAATGCACAAGCGTTTCGATCGCGATCCATCATTGCGCGAAAATTACGTCAAATTTTTGGCGGAATATGAATCGCTTGGACACATGGAACTCGTGCCAAAGAGAGAGCGTGTCTACAAAAGTGCAGTGTACATACCACATCATGCTGCGGGAACGAGCAAGTTCCGTGTAGTATTCGACGGAAGTTGTAAAAACAAGGGAAGTCCGTCGCCAAATGACATTCAATTGAATGGTGAACGTTTACAACCAGATTTGACGACAATCATCATGCGATTTCGATTCGGAAAAATAGCATTATGCGCTGACATTGCCAAAATGTATCGCCAGGTGCGTGTGCCAGAAGATCAACGAGATTCTCAGCGAATTTTATGGAGCGATTCACCCGATGATCCGGTACGCGAATATCGTTTGTGCACGCAAACTTACGGAATGAAGTCAGCAGCATATGTATGTATTCGTACGCTATTTGAATGTGCCAACATAGGCGAAAATGATCATCCGAAGGCTGCCAAAGTAGTTCGAACGAGCTTTTACGTAGACGATATGTTGCATTCGGAACCAGACCTTGAATCAGCAACTCACGTTTATCACGAGCTCAATGAAATGTTGGGATCATGTCAAATGCAACTAGCAAAATGGATCACCAACGACCCACAAATGCATGACATAATGCAAGCCAACGGCGGGGAACCATTGCTAGAGCTCGACAAGGAGCAAACCAACGCTGTGCTCGGAATGCATTGGAACCCAATCAAAGACGAGTTCCAATTCATAATAAAAACTCCACCATCGGATGAAAAACCAACCAAACGGCGCATCGCCTCGGATATTGCTCGGCTTTATGACCCGAACGGCCTTCTCGCTCCAGTAATCATTCAAGGTAGAATCATTCTACAGCGAGTGTGGCGACAGAAGTTAGGCTGGGATGAGGAGATCGAAGACGATGCGGATGAAGAGCTATATATCGCCAGCGATTGGGACGCGTTCCGCCGAGATCTACCTGCTGTGGAAAAAATCCGGATTCCGCGATGGATAAAAATGCAGCCAAATGCAAAAACACAATTGCACGGTTTCAGCGACGCCTCTGACGATGCATATGGCATATCATTTTACATACGCGTTGAAACTACTAAAAGAGAAATCGATACACGCCTAGTGTTTTCCAAGATCAGAGTGTCACCCACGACAAAAGCAACAGTGCCGAAACTGGAACTGAGCGCTGCTCATTTGATGGCAAAAATGCTATCAAGTGTCGTGGAGACACACGATGTGACCATGAATGATTGCTATTTGTGGTCGGATTCGATGATCGTGTTGCATTGGATCCGGAAAAGTCCAGCCAAATTGGACGTGTTTCAAGCAAACAGAGTAGCAGAGATCCAAGAGCTCACCGAAGGAGCAGCTTGGGCACATGTCGCCACCAAAGACAATCCAGCCGACTTGTGTTCAAGAGGTGTGTCACCAAGTAAATTGATCGACGCGAAGTTATGGTGGCATGGACCCTCTTGGTTACGAACACCGCAGCCATCGTGGCCGGAAAGCAAGCTCAACCTCAGCTCGCATGATGCCAAGGTCGTTGAATCGGCCACGAAAAAGGCAAAGCCAGTGATTGGTTTCGCTCATGCTGAACCCGAGCAGACGGTCACCAAAACTGTTCGATTAGGAGGAGAATTGATCGACATCGGATTACACCAGGCAATCAGTCATTGGGGAAGATTAGCACGCGTGACAGCCTACGTCTTGCGATTCATACATAACATCCGCAGTAAATCAAATCGACTCACCGGAGCCATATCCAGTGATGAGATGATTGATGCTGAGACAGTGTGGATTCGGTACAGCCAAAAAACATTCTTTGCCAAGGAAATTGTCGATTGTCAAAATCGAAAGCCGCTTGACAAATCATCGCCATTGCACAAGTTATCGCCATTCATCGACAACAAAGGAGTGCTGCGGTTAAGTGGGCGTTTGAAGCATTCTGGAATGCCATACGATTCCATCCACCCCATGGTGTTAACCAATAAATGCATTATCGCACGACGCCTAGTCGATCATGCACACAATGTTACGCTTCACGGTGGCATCCAATTAACGCAACAATATTTACGTAATAAATATTGGATAATTGGGCTACGCACTCTGGTCAAAAGCGTGGTAAATCGTTGGTTACCATGCGTCCGCCAACGGAGAGAGAATGCGGAACAATTGATGGGCCAATTACCACCGTCGAGAGTGCGTCCAGGTCGCGCATTTGCACACACCAGCGTAGATTATCTAGGGCCAATCCTAGTGAAGCGGTATAATGCAACCAGAGCAAAAATAGTTGACAAGGGCTATGTGTCAGTATTCGTGTGCATGAAAACTCGGGCTGTACACCTGGAATTAGTCAGCTCTCTCACCACTGAGGCCTTTCTCGCTGCATATTCTCGATTTACGCATCGACGAGGGAAAGTTGAAGAAATGTGGAGTGACAATGGCACTACATTTCAAGGTGCCTCAAATGAGATGGAAAAAATCAACAAGGATTGGAAAGACGCTGCCGAAAGCGAACTGTTTCGACAAAATGCCACCAGATGGAATTTTTTGCCGCCACATGCGCCACACATGGGGGGCATTCACGAAGCAGCAGTAAAAAGCGCCAAGCACCATTTACGCCGTGTCATCGGAAATCAGCAGTTAACGAGCAATTGGCCACGCTGTTAACCCACGTAGAAGCGTGCCTTAATTCTCGTCCGTTGGGCATCGTCACCAATGACGCAAGTGATTCGGTCGCGCTAACACCAGCGCATTTTCTGATCGGTGAACCACTAATTTCACCACTGCAACGAGATCGGTTGCAAACGCCAAGCAATCGTTTGACTCACTTTCAGCAGATGCAGAAAATGGGACAAGAGTTTTGGGAGCGCTGGAGCGACGAACACGTCAAGACATTGCTGAATCGAAGCAAATGGTGCCAGAGCCAACGGAATCTTGAGCAGGACGACATAGTCCTAGTGGAAAATGAATTGCTGCCACCGACTCAATGGCCGCTTGGTAGAATCATCACCGTCTATCCCGATTCAGAAGACCACGTGAGAATGGCCGACGTATTGTTCAACGGAACGATCAACCGCCGACCGATCCACAAATTGTGCCTTCTGCCAAGAGAAGATGACTAACGAAGAATTTACCGTTCTGCCGTCGCTGCCGCCGAGGGGGGACCATGTTCGAAATCGAACAACGTTTTTGAATTTCTCAATCGCGCTCCCATTGGAAGCGCGACATATAAATAACGGTCGGACCACAGTCCGGCCTCAGTCATGTAAAGATTGTTAAAGTGAACGGACGAATAAACACAGAAATAAAATTCCATCGTCTTATTCTTGTTAGA